CGTCCCACAGGGGCCCGGGAAGTGGAACCTGCAAGGGAGCGGACGGTGTGAGGGACGGGCAGGGACCGGCGCTGCCCCGAGCCCCGGAACGGGGGACAGACCCTGATGGGCCCTGGGGACAGACTGCGGCCTCACACTGAACAAACACAGTTGTGTCTCCAGTGAAACTTATTTCTACCAAGAGACGAGAATAATAATTTTCTCATTAAAGAAACTAATGCTTCTTAGCAATCTGGGAGAAAACCAGATTGTGTTTGTTTATAAACCCCAGCACTTTTAGAGGTTGGATACAAAAGACAACGAAGGTGAGGGACTAAAGGCTGCTACTCTGAAGAGCTTTACCTGAACCTGTCTGTGGCGGGAGTAGCTTCCATGTTAAACTCTGCGACTGGCACTCCTCTGGCAGAGACCTGGGGGGCAAACATCGCCGCAGGGTACACCACCGAGGAGGTCCCGACCTGCAGGGATGGGCAGAAACCACAACTGTAGCAGGACAGTGGCTAAACACAAACCCAAACCAACACCTTCTCAGAATACTGGATGTGCAAAGGCACTAAAGCATGAAGATCTCTACAGAAACGAAACCAAACCAGCATCTCTAATTTGTGTCCCTGCATATGTAGCTATTTAACCATAGCATAACAACTAGCAGTTGTGTCTCTGATACAGCCCAAAGAAGCCTGTTTGTGCATTATAACTGTGGATGGAAAAAAGAATCCCAGAAACAAAATGGCAAACTTCAGGAAAAAAACCAAGACATTCCTTCTGTTGCTTGAGATTATTCTGCACAGGGAACACTATTCTAAGCAAGTGTCTTGATCAGGGATCTGGAACCTAGGGTGGCATGGTAAACCACCTCACCAAAAGAAGCAGCACATGGTAACCACTAGCTGCTGCCTTAAAACATCTTGCCGGGTTTTTTTGCTTTTTAAACTGAGCATCAGAATAATTGTATTTTTCACTGTTTGAGAAATTAGAACCATAGAATGGTTTGGGTTGGAAGGGACCTTAAAGATCATCTCGTTCTAAACCCCCGGCCAGGGGCAGGGACACCTCCCACCAGACCAGGTTGCTCAAAGCCTCATCCACCATGGCCTTGAACATTGCCAGGGCTGGGGCATCCCCAGCCTCCCCTGGGCAACCTGTTCCAGTTTTTCACCACCCTCACAATACAGAATTTCTTCCATATATCCAATCTAAACCCACACTCTGTTTGAAGCCATTACCCTTTGTCCTTTCACTACAGTTCCTGATGAAGAGTCCCTGTCTGGCTTCCCTGTAGGCCCCTTCAGGTATTGGGAAGTTGCTCTAAGGTCTCCCCCAGAGCCTTCTCTTCTCCAGGCTGAACAGCCCCAACTTTTTCAGCCTGTCTGTGTGGGAGAAGTGCTCTAGTAACCTCATCAACTTTGTGGCCCTCCTCTGGACTTTCCAACAGTTCCACATCCTTATGTTGGGGACACCAGATCCATATGCAGTACTCCAGGTAGGGTCTCAAGAGCAGAGTAGAGGGGGAGTGAAATTCAACAGCTAAACTATACTGGCTAAGGAAACTCTAACACCAGTGTGCACTAAATGCAGGCTGCAGATGCCAGCTGGGCAAGATGCTCACATGCTGAGCCTGTTAGTTTCTGAGCAGTGTATGTACGTTTCCAAACTTGAAGGTCTTTTAATGGTTTACACTTGACACTAGAGAGTCCCTCTGGGGCTTTTAGTTCCCTCAGGGAAGCACAGATGCATCTGCTTTACCCAGGAGTACAACCTCCTTAGTGCGGCTTCCCTGCCAGGTCAGAGGACAGGTAACAAAAGCATCACTCACTACCAAACAGAGGTCACAAATATCAAGCTCCTTCTCAACCGCTGTGAGAATGTTGGGATCCAGAGCTTCACCAAACCACACAACATGGGGACGCAGGAGCCCATTGCAGCCATCCTCCTCACACCTGTTGGAACATCACAACAAGGCTGCTGACATGGACAGTCCAAGCTGCAAAACAGCAAAGAAGTTTTCATTCTTGTTTAGGCAGGTCTTACATGCCATCACTCTTTTCTCCCTTCTCCTTCACATCCCTCCTATACCATGTACTGGACAGAATGAACCTGATTCTGTATCACATGTATGTTGTAAGGACACACGTGCTGTCAGGTTCAACTCAGATACTTAACTGTGCCTTCTCCATACTCAGCTCATGAAATGCACAACACTTACAATGTAGTGTCTGCTACAGACTTGGCCTCCATCAGGTTTAACGAACTGGCTGACAGATTTTTAAGGAGAAAATGGACCAAATGTCAGAAGCATCACGTTAGCCTCTTTTTTCTTAGGAACCAAGTGTAAAATATAGTGGTTTCTTGCATCTACAATTAGCCTAAGGCCAAGCTTAGTACAAAAAAGTGTCATGGCACATTTAATGCCTGAGAGGCACTATGCAGTGGCTGTACCCCAATACAGTATTCCAGATGGACTAACAGTGAGTAGCACCTCCAAAGTAACAAAATGTTTACTCTGTGGCACTTAGTTTCTTTTTTCAATTCTCCTACTACTTCACTTACTACAAACCCCATGAATTTAGGCATGTTTCATCTTGGTGCTGAAGTACACAAACATGCAATGCCTTTAGCATCATGGTAACTTCTGCCACACACTCCTGTCTGATGCCTCCTGTAACTTTAGACTCAGTTCTCTGGGGCAAAGTCCCACACCTTTCTCTCCTGTAGAATGTCTCTGTGTCCTTCCAAAACTACATAGGTAGTAGCATAAGCTTTTGAGGTGCACAAAGCATGAAGAGGTAACAGTCAAAACCAAAGTAGTCCATACGTACCGAGGAAGGTCTTCAACTGGAATCGCGGCGTCTTTTGTTTCAGGATCTGGAGCCCTAAAGTTACAAAATTGAAACACATTCCGTCATGCAAAGTGCATTTTATACATTAATAAAGACTTAGTGTGCTCTAAAAACCCTTAACACTCTCCAGTCAAGGATTCTTCAGCCAAATTAGCACCTACTACAACCCTAAAATACCAGACACAGGGCAAGCAGGCTTTGTCCAGAATTGTCCCAGAGCTGAACAACTGTGATATGCTGGTCAAGTCTGTCAAAGGCACAGCAATTACGTAGCTATCTAAAACTCTGGTGAAATGCAAAGGGAAAAAACCCTCTAAAAATCTATAGGCATATGCCTGACCTGTGCCCCTGCTCTCCTCCTGTTTTAATGGTGAAACAAAGAGGAAGAGGAAAGGAGACTGAAGGATCCTGGCAACTGATGCTTCCCTCCCAGTTGTTTCACACATCTGTATTTTGAGATCTGTAATCATGAGAATCTTATTGATGAGTTGAAGGACAAAATCCACAAGATGCTCAGGAGATGCAGAAGAGGCAAATGCATGTGTCAAGTGATAACAGTTCAATCTGAGGAATAAGCATCTGATTTAATTTAAAAAAAAACGGACAGGGATGAGGATGGGAGTAAACACACGTTCTCGCAGAGTACAATTAGTGGATATATCCAATATGAGAGTTTCAGACCAGCTGAAATTGTTCCAATTGGAACACGTATCATGCTGTGCTAACTTAGAGGTTAACAATCACGCATTCACAGGAGCTATGGTACCTTGGGCGCTCACTGCAGTTACCAAATAGGATACTCATGCTTCAAAATATTTGTGTTAAATTTAAGTGCTGATCATACTCAAATAAAATGTGGTGGTTGGCTGGAACTCCCATATGCTCCTCAATGCCTCCTTTGCTCCTGAACAGCAGGCAAAGGAGAAAACAGTTTGCAAGGCAGATGTATTACCCTTTCCCGGCCAACGCGGGGCAGATTGGGCTCTTGTAATTCGCAGCTATGTTTCCACAGTTGGTGCACCGAGTTTTAAATAAACTACCTGAAACACACAAAGAGAAAACATCAGGGATGAAGCAGTGGCTCTGAGGAGTGGCTGTACAAGCAACTGGTTGTGTTTATCCCAGACTGACTCTGAAGACTGCACCTTGTGGGTAATTTACTACATGAACAGGCAAGTGTTGCAATCCAGCAGCATTATGACTGAGATGTTGTTTACACAGCACGTACCCACATGCTTTTGTTCAGCAGCCCAAGGTGACCAGTGTCACCATGAAGCACAGACTGGGGCCAGCAGAGGCAGACAAAGCCCTTTCAGCTGGCAGGCTCTGGTGAGCAGCTGCAGCAGGCCTGTTAAGCTATGATGTATCACCTCATTCCACCTCAGGTCACATGCAGTGCACAGCCTCGTAACAGTGTTCCAGAGGCAAATCATAATTTAAATTATCACTGAGGGAGATGATTTCTGCTTACTGCTTTTCCCTTTTAATCAGAAACATTCTCTTAAAAAATAAATATACTAGCTAACACTATTTTGTTTTACATGAAACACCCCAAGACTCCTGTAGCAGTAGTAACATGCTGTTGAGATGTGAAACTCTCCCAAGAGTTTGAAATTATTTTTATTCTGCAAAGAATACAGATAACCAAAATTAAACCATACCCAAGGCTCCATCCTTGGACCCACTACTGCAAAAAGGTTTGTGCAGGCTTCCTGTGTCCAAATCACAACAGGAGCAGTGGGAAATGCCATTTAAAACTTTTGTGATACCCAAGTTAAAAAGCCTTATAATGCAGAGGGGCCAGGATTGGACTTTGTCCTGGGAAATTTCCACTCTGTGGCAGGGCCTGCAGAGTGGAGAAAGGAGAAGTGGGGCACCTCCAAGGATGGAGAAGGCCTTCCCCACACCCTTTCCACACCTGTACATTTCCTCAGATTCAAAAGCCCCACTGACCCCTTGGTGCTGCACCTGCCCTGTGGTCCTCAGGCACTTTGTGAGAGAGAGGATGGCTGTGAGGAATGCCACTGATTACATGGAAGAGAAAGGTTGAGTGCCACTGAGTGTAGGAGAAAAAGATAAGGGAATCTCATCCATTTCCAGCCCCCTCCTCCTGCAGCCAAGGACTGCACAGGTGGAGACAGGACAGAACAAGACGGAGGGAAAGCACAAGGGCTGGCAAGGTCAGTCTTGCCAATACACCTTCTATTGGGTGCTGGTCTGACACCACCACTGCTGCATAGTGGAAGTCCTCAGGAACTAATTTCCCATTTTCTAAGTGAAATCAGCCAAGTGCCACAGCCACATGTATTCAAGTGAATCTGAGGCAACGCTGACCAAGCAGGAAGGGAGAACCAGTTCCTGTGTACTGTCAGAATCCACTAAAAACAGAAAGCTGAGGTTCTGTGATTCTAAAGGTGAGAAACAAAGAAAGGCTACAGAGGACCTGAAAGAACTTCCAAAAGAGAACAGGATGATATTGTAAATAACTTTCTGCAAGTTATTACCATTTTAAGGACAAACTTCTCTTCTAGTAGCTATCCCACTTTCTCTTTTCCTTGCTCCCACCCTGGGTTGACCTGCCTCTAGCTGACAAGTAAGCTCTTACCATGAATCTCTAAGAGGTGCTTCGTGCCTGCCTTCCTGTGCAGTTCATCAATATTCTGAGTAATGACCACAACACTCCTTCCTTGCTTGCTCAGCCGCTTCTCGCACTCTGCAATGGCAATGTGTGCTGGATTTGGATGTTTGCTCAGCATCACTTCCCGGCGGTAATGGTAAAATTCCCACACACGGGAAGGGTTTCGCGCAAAAGCCCCCGGAGTAGCCAGCTCCTGGAAAAGATGTCACTAGTCTTTCTACAGCGAAGGGGTAAGAAAATTCCCTCCCCAGATGAAGCCTCCTGGATCTCTGCCGTTTACACTGCTACCAGCAGCACAGGGTAACCAAAAGCAGATTATCTGTAATCAGATGCAGTTGATAAGAATACAGTTCAATAGACCTTAAGATGATAACAAGTCAAACTGTCTCATCACATGAGGAAATAACTTATAGCAACAGTGTGGTACGCACATACACACAGTACACTGGGACCTTTCTCTGTGCTGCCCTACCAAACTATTAGGAGCTTAGTACAGCACAAAGGGAGATGAGATATTTCAATGCACACCATTTTTTGGCATCCAGAACTCTCTTTTTCATAGCAGCCATAAAACTCAGCATCATGTGGATATATTCCCTTTGTTAGCAATTTTGTTTCTGCCTTTTAAAGTGTAACACAAGCCAAATTACACTCACTGTCAAAACCAAAGTAATGTCTTTTATGCGTTGGTAAAATTGAAGCTCTGCTTTTCACAGTAACTTTGCCTTTTTCAAAAATGAGGAGCAGCTCAGTCTAACACCTCAATGCACAATTCTGCTGACATAGAAACACTGAATGCAAGTTTCTGATGCAGCAGGACCAGGCATTTATCCATGCACATGCTTTATTTGCATTGCTGGTCACTGAAAGAAAAAAGGCAACTTTAGATCCACCTTAAAAAACTCATCTCTAGCTTCATCAAATCTTTCACAAATGCTGTAATTAAAAAACACAAAGAAAGCAAACATGATTGCAGTGTTTGGGGTAACAGGTACTGACAGTATAAGAGTCACTTGAAACATCTGTGGCATCAGGCAGGATCCAACTGGTGGTGGCAGAAAGACCCAGAGCTGCTTGCAAGAATGTTGTTTTTCCCAAAGGATAAACTGAAGGACAGAAAAGAAGTTGCAGCTGCACCAAGCAGAACCCTGCCAAAGCACAGGGAAGAGCTGCCTGCAGGGGTGGCTGTAGTGAGAGCTCTGTCCCTGACATACTGCCATGGGAGCACTTCCACCCTCTTCCCCCAGCAGCTTCTGACCCTCCATGCTCACCTAGCTGATGGGCAGAGCAGCACAGCTGCACAGGCACAGGCCACCAGCACGTACCTGGGCTTGCCACTTTCTCCAGAAACCCCCAGCCCCTCTGAAGGTGGGAACGCCGCTCTCCGCGCTGACACCAGCTCCTGTGATAATGGCAATGTGCTTCGCTTTGGCAAACACTTCCCGAAAATCAGCCATATCTGTGTGTGGGGAAGGAAACAAACTGCTGTTAATTGCTTACACTTCTATGTAAGAGGCCACGCAGAAAGTGCTGCCGCACTGATGTGCCCAGAAATGGCTTTCAGGTATACCTCCCATGACTTGAATATCAGAAGACCAATTGGTTTCTTAGTTTCTGTATACTGGAATTTGAAGGGCAATTCCTGAAGATCCTCAAAAATGTGTATGGGCAAGCTCAGTAGGGCAACATGCTGAACTATGAATGTACTCAGTATTTGAAAGGCAGAGCCTTTAACTAAAACCCCACACTAGATGCTACCCTGGTAACAACTGTTGCCACCACCACTCAGGAACAGTTTGCTTCCTAATCGTTAGGTATAAACCTGAGATGGAGGGGGGGAAAAAACCCAAACCAACCAACCAACCAACCACACACCTTGGTCTGTTTACAAAGTATCACCTTCAAAATGAAGGTAATATGGGAAAACATTTCCTTCTGAGGCATCTTACCTATTTGCTACATTTGCAACTCTATTTTATATTTTTGAATGTATTATTTCCTCTATTTTTCCCTGCATGGTAAAGTATCTTGGGAAAATAGTGGGAAATTTCATTTGCCTTTTATATGAGTCAAAACAAGATTTAAAAGAAACTGGTTAGCTACAGAGACACAAAAAATTGTCTTCCAGTTTACCTCAGATTTTAAAGCAACATATTTTAGAACCACAGACTGCCTGAGGTGAAAAGGGACCTCTGGAGATTGTTGTGTCTAAATTGAGGGCACTGTCTGGTCAGATGGCTTTTGAGTATCTCCAAGGATAGAGACTCTATAACCTTCCTGTACAACTCATTCCAGTGTTTGAACACCCCCACAGTAAACAAAGTGTTCTCTTAGGTTCAGATGGAATCTTGTGTGTTTTGATTTGTGTCCATTGCTTCATGTTCTGTCACCAGGCAGTACTGACAAGAGTCTGCCTTGTCTTCACCCCCACCACCACCAGGTGCTTTTATGCACTGATAAGATGTCCCTGAGCCTGGTCTCCTTTAGGCTGAACAATGCCATCTCTTCCAGCCTCTGCTCATATGTCAGATGCTCCAGGCCATTAGTCATCTCTGTGGCCCTTCGCTGGACTCTATCCAGCATGCTCATGTCTCCATTGCACTGGATCCAGCATGTCAGATGTCATGGGTCAAGGCTGAGCAGAGAAGGATCACCTCACTTCAGCATCTGCTGGAGATGTTCTGCCATGTGGAGCCCAGAACACCCATTAGCCCAAAGGTGTTCTGGCCTGCACTTGATGAAGATGTTTGTTAAACAATACTGGCCTTCTACAATATAGCCCTGGTGACTCTCCAGCTGAACTTTGAGCTGCTGATCACAACCCTAATCCTCACAATTTACTATGTGGTCTTTAAAAAAATCAACCAACCAACAACACACAAAAAACCCAACCCAGAGGCAGCAAGTTCCTTTAAGGAGAGGCAGTCACTGGAGAAGTCCCAAGACCAAGCAGGAGAGCCACAGAACTGGGCAGAGAACACTACTGTTCTGCTGCCCCATCTGCTGTTGTAAACAAAACCTCACAGGCCCCTGAATGTGTAAAGCTCAGGTCAAAACCCCTCCCAGCCTGGTCTCTGACAGCAGCCAAACACTGATGCTCAAGGTGGCAGAAAAAGCAAGTGCTCCTTGGCTCACCGACTTTGGGGGGTTTGCTCTTGTACTTGTGGACTTCTGTGTGCAGTTTTCAAGTCAAGGCACATTCTCAAATTGAAAACAAACCCTAAATATCCCCAGATAAGCAAATAGAGGATATTTACTACTGCTAGGCCAAAGAGGGCTGCTGGGGTTACCCAATACCCTGTTTCTGACCTGTTACAACTGCTTGAGGCTCTCCATAATTCTTGTGCAAAGAAATGAGGAATGAGTTTTATTACCCATTAGGATTATGAAAAGGAAATGCAATTAACTACTGTTTATGTGCATAAATTATAAAGATTAGAAACATGTCGTGGGGCAACCATGCTGACTGCAACGTTGCAAAGGGTTTTTGGAACTATATAGAACATAGATGTAGAAAATTAATTTTAGTAGTGGGGGCGGGGGGGGAAGCAACTTCACAAGCTCTTAAACAGATTGAAATAACCTATGGCTTTCACCTAGCTCACGAAACCCTCTAGCGTTTCAAATCCACCTTAAAAAACCAGCCTAAGCAAATAACCAGATATCTTACTCGAACTAGGACGAGCCATTTGCAAGCAAACCTCCTGTTTCT